AAAAAATTGGCCCGTATCTGCAGGCTTAACTGCAAATGTCGTCGAAAGACGATAGTGTTGCGTCTGGAGAGAGTGAACAAAACGTGTATTTGATGTTCTGCGCGAGAAAATCGGTCAATGGTACTCTGGAGGCACTGCGTTGGAGTGCTTCGATGCGAGGAGTGGAGGCGAACGAGATCATCGAGGCACATGAGACATGAGTGCTCTCTGGCCAAGTATCTGGCAGTTATCTTGGAAACCGAAGGATGGCCTCTGATATAGCAAGCGCGCTGCATGTGCGCTTGTCTCGGAGGCGATAAGGTGTAGAACGCAAAGCGACGGGTAGGTGCCACCATCGCGTCGCCTTAGCAAAGCGTTGGAAACACTTGCCTTTTCATTGTCAGTGCAACGTGATAAACGCTACGGTCTTTAGAATTACTTATGTATGTGATCTCTAGTATAAAAAGACACGCCACAGAATAAGGACGTGTTCTAATTGTGCCTCAGATATGCGCAATAAATGATTTTTAATTGACAGTCGTACAAGTATTAACACTGAAAATTGAGCAATATTGGTGGACAGGTGTTCTGTGGGTGGGTGCGGCAAATGGGGTTGGATTCTACCCGTTTCAGGTGTCGTTTCGGTGTACAGACGGGACACTTCAAGCTCTCCCATAGTACAGTACCAAGTACTGTAAATCGTTAACCACTTCTTCTTAACACACAGACAGACAGACCAAAATTTTCGCGTGTGACTACTCCAAGAAAGACTATCGCTTTAAAAAAAATTTAGAATAAAGATAGCATGGCAATACAGCAACGAAGACAGACATTAGATAAACCGGATTCCGCTTTAAATGACGATATGCTAGCTCGGTAATGATAGGTAGAATGAATGAATCGAGCAGTACGGTTTTGCACTGCTTCCAGGGCAGAGGCGAGGTAGAACTGGGGTGGGATCCAAATAGCGGATGCATACTCTAGCTTCGTTGACGGCGTTGATATACGAAGTGAGGGTGGATGTCAACTCATTTAGATCTGATCTCACGTAACTCTATTGCAGACTGATGAGCCATTCTAAGGCCAGTAGTCTTACGTGCGTGGGGCCTTGACGAAGGTTGCGTTTCAGGAATCCTAGTGTTGTATTGGCAGGTGCTACGATAATATTTATATGAGTGCGCCATAATAGGTCATTGCATAAGGTTACCCCCAAATATTTAAATGAACTAACGGCCTCGACGCAAACACCAGGATTTGAATACGAAAAGGAAAGACACAAAACATTGTGAGAAGGTTACAGATTTATATTTGCTATGATTTAGAGTCATCATTAGCCATTGGTTGCACCAGTCTGACGTAGTTACCGCAAACTATTGCAGCATACAGTTCATCTAGCACAAGAAGCAATATGAGTTATTTTGAGCCACTTGAAGCTTGCGGAAGTGTACGAGTGGTGACAGCGATATATTGACAGGTGTGCTTGTGCAACGGCAAGAGGACACAGAAAGAGTGATCGCCTACACAAGTCGAACGCTAACACGCGCAGAGACTAACTATTCAACAACAGAGAAAGAATGCCTCACCGTAGTATGCGCAGTAGTGAAATTTCGACCGTACTTGTATGGCCGGCACTTAGTTATTAGTGACCATCACTCCCTTTGTTGGTTCACTAACCTAAAAGATCCCACCGGCTGATTAGCGCGTTGGAGCCTACGGCTGCAAGAGTTTGACATGACGGTCGCACACAAGTCAGGGAAGCGACATATAAACACTGACTGTCTGTCCCGATCTCCAACACAGTGAGCTTCCCTACCTGATGAGGATGAAACTGCATTTCTTGGGGTCCTTGATACGTCTATCATCGTCTAACAACAACGTGACGACCCTGAGTTGCTTGGTTTGATTAATTACTTGGAACGGTGATCTCAGAGCGCACCCAGAGTTTTTGCAAGAGTATTGTCGTCGTTTTCCGTACGGAACAGCGTCCTATACAAAACGAATTTTTCATTGATCGGATCTCTCTACTTGCTTGTCATGCCGGCAGGTCTCCGCACAGAAGTGCTTGAAGCTTGTCACAGCGACTTGACTTCTGGTCACTTAGGCTACACGCGCACATAGGCAAGAGTTCAGCAAAGATATTGCTGGTCAAGGCTCACCGCTACCATGAGGCAACACATTCGTGCTTACTTGGACTGCCAGCTACGTATGTCTCCTACGACAAAACCAGCCAGCCTGCTGCAACCTGTTCGGGTCCCAAGTACACCATTCGACCAGATCGGAATGGATATCTTAGGTTTACTTCCTACTTCTGCTGCAGGGAACCGCTCGGTCACCGTCGCGACGGATTACCTTACCGGTACGCCGAAATGAAGGCTATCTCACGAAGCACAGCAGCGGAGGTAGCCAAATTTTTTATAGAAAATGTTGTACTGCGACATGGTGCGCCATCCGTCATGATAACAGACCGCGGGCCTGCATTCACGGTGGCTCTTCTTGAGCACGTCTTGATGTTAAGTGGAACGAGTCAACGAAAGACCACTGGCTACCACTCGCAGACGAACGGACTGACAGAACGCCTGAACAAGACAATTGAAGATATGCTGTCGATGTACGTGGACGTTTGACATGAAAACTGGGACGAGATCTTGCCCTATATTACGTTCGCGTACAATACAGCCAAACAAGAAAGGACTTGTATGATTACATTCAGTCTTGTTCACGGACGGGAGGTACGGACAATGCTAGATGCCATGTTACCACATAAATAGGACGACAATGACACGGGCGCCGTCATGTATGCCGAACGCGCGAAAGAAGCCAGGCAGCTCGCACGCTTGAAAATCCGCCAGCAACAGCATTGCGACGCAGGTTGCTGCAATGTCCACCGGAGAGCAGGAACCTACGAAGCCGGTGACCGAGTGTGGGTTTGGACACCCATACGAAGACGTGGACTGTCCGAGAAACTCTTAAGGCGATACTTCGGACCGTATAGAGTACTGCAAAAGTTAAGTGACGTCACCTACGAGATCGTCCACGACAGTCCCTCCTGCACCAGGCGTCAACCGCAACGGTCTGGGCCTGTACATGTGGTACGCATGAAGCCATATGTCAGTGATTGACTGCGTTTTCCCACAAAGGTCGCTTGCATGTAGCATCGGGGTGATGCTCCTATATATAAGGAGGGGTAACTGGCACGTGTATATACGTAAAAGAGAACGACGATGTAGGTGTTTCTCAGACTCAGGATAGCGGGACAGGGAGTTGAAAAAAGGAAGACGAGGAAGGCCTTCTGTGTACAGTTGTTTCTGAAATACACTGTTCCACTGCCGCAAGTTGTTTTTTTTCTCGCTACACTGCGACAATATCATCTGAACAACATCATCTAAATTGGCTGTCGCTGATCGCATTTCATTTGATTGATTGATTTGTGGGGTTTAACGTCCCAAAACCACCATATGATTATGAGAGACGCCGTAGTGGAGGGCTCCGGAAATTTCGACCACTTGGGGTTCTTTAACGTGCACCCAAATCTAAGTACATGGGCCTACATGATCGCATTTCAGCTTTCATCACAAATTATACATAGATGCGCGCTGGAACCAAGACAGTCTAATATAATTACAAAAGAATGTACAATGATCGTCAAATAAAACACGAATAACTGGAGCACGTGCCGCAAGCAATACAAAACGTGTAGTGTGCGCCTTTCAGTCATCACCATAAACAAATCCACTCCGCACATCTTGTCGGGCAGCACTGCGCGATCCTCCTACACAGTAGAATACTTTAGGGGCGAAGCTCCTTGGGGTCGAGCCTTGTCCCTTCGTCGGCGTGACATAGTATGTCCGTTGTCCTGGCTTGCACTCGCTGGGAGCGCCGATCGTGGGTAGAAGAGGAGAACGACGATCGCGGGCGCGCTCGTGGCACGCTGTTTCTTTCGCTGCGTCGCCCCGGGAAACGCGCTCGCTTACGGCTCTCCTCTCACATGGTGATGGAGTGGACGTAGTTATGATAGATAGATAGATAGATACATAGATAGATAGATAGATAGATAGATAGATAGATAGATAGATAGATAGATAGATAGATAGATAGATAGATAGATAGATAGATAGATAGATAGATAGATAGATAGATAGATAGATAGATAGATAGATAGATAGACAGACAGACAGACAGACAGACAGACAGACAGACAGACAGATAGATAGATAGATAGATAGATAGATAGATAGATAGATAGATAGATAGATAGATAGATAGATAGATAGATAGATAGATAGATAGATAGATAGATAGACAGACAGACAGACAGACAGACAGACAGACAGACAGACAGACAGACAGACAGACAGATAGATAGATAGATAGATAGATAGATAGATAGATAGATAGATAGATAGATAGATAGATAGATAGATAGATAGATAGATAGACAGACAGACAGACAGACAGACAGACAGACAGACAGACAGACAGACAGACAGACAGACAGACAGACAGACAGACAGACAGACAGACAGACAGATAGATAGATAGATAGATAGATAGATAGATAGATAGATAGATAGATAGATAGATAGATAGATAGATAGATAGATAGATAGGAAGAAAGAAGGAAAGAAGGAAAGAAAGGAAGGAAGGAAGAAAGAAAGAAAGAAAGAAAGAAAGAAAGAAAGAAAGAAAGAAAGAAAGAAAGAAAGAATGGGTTAGTGATTTCTGGAGATTTCGCATCTGTTCTGTTTCTGGTATTCCAAATGAAGGACTTAAAGATAAAAGAAAATTGAAAGTGAAACATAACAAACGCTTGGCACGCCCACGCTGGCCCCTGTTATTAGCATATCAGAACTAGAACGCGAGAGAAAATATAGCAAGGGATCGCGAAGTGCTTCCAAACCGGATGTGCACACCTATCAATGGTGACGAGAGACTGAACGGAGTACACTCTGGCGTCACTAGTGCTTGGGCCACACACTCCGCTATCCGCGTTTCGTTTGACGCCAATATTACGCAGTGTTCACCATTGGCGACGCCGATGCCGACTAGCACCCCGATCCAGTAACGATGGCCGCCGGTCGCCCCGTTCAGGTCAGCAGTCGACGCGTCCGTCCATGACTTTATCCATAGCTGCTGTGTTGCCTGGGCAACGGCTGAAGTGGCTAGAAGGGCGACTCCCAGCCGTGCTGGCCATTGAGAGAAATGGATGAGTCCCATAAGTAGCTGCCAGGAGGTCTGCGAGAACAAGTTGTGACTGCGTTAAAACTCGTTCACACATGTGACTCGCCGTATAGCGCGCCTAATTAGTCGCAAATGGGCGCTTTTTCTCGCTTGCTGTTTCATTTTGTAGTCGCACTTCTGCAGCCATGAAGCTCTGAACCAATTAGACGCACAAAAACAGGGCGTCAGCCTACTTTGTGGAGCAATAGCAATGAGATCGTACGGTATTTGTGTGCATCGACGGGTGCAAGCCGCTCGCAGCTGTGAACATCAATCGCTCTGGTCGCTCGACCAGTGCTTGACATAAATGTGCAGGAGCCTTTAGAGTTGGTGTGCTAAGTTAGTGAACACTAACGACTGACTGGACTAAACTGTAAAGTGCAGTCGACTACCATCTTGGTTTCCTTCGTTCCTCGGGCTCTGCTTTGAGAACCTGTTCACACAGCTCACTAAGTTGTCTACACTAGAATCTGTAGTAGTGTGAGTGGATTAAACCGACTTACCTAAACTGTCTCTTTCTTTCATTCGGTTTCGCGATGATCTCAAAATGACGCGCTCACCATTTTCGACCGTGCAGTCTCTTCTTCCGTGATTCTCCCGACTCCCTCGCAATCTTCGTCCTGCTCGAAAGTCGCGCTTGCGGTATAGGGCGACACAGTAATCTGCGTTAGTTTGCAGTAGGATATTGCAATGTTCATCAGTGTACAACTTGCAAAGTGCTTGAAATTCCTTCATTAAGGTGGCAAGACAAAGAGCTGTTATGGTTCATCCTATATATGCTCTACTCGAGAAATCTATATACACTCGAGAACGTCGCTACTTGACAACAGATAGATTGCACGCAATAGAACCACCGAGGATAGCTTAATGACAGGTCATAGCATGTCGAATTCCAAAAATGCAGCTTCGACCACATGCTGAGTGTTCAATGTTATTGGATGATGTCGCTTTTTTATCTACTGTTAACGTTTTTTTTTTCTTTTCATTTAACAAAGCGGAAATATAAAGCCCATATATTGTGTGCGTGTACTGTATCCTGCGATTTATCTATCTTTTATTTGTTTTTGTTTGGTTTTGTGCCGTGCAAATCGTTTTCATTGACGTGTGTGTACTTTCAATTTACAGCCCTCCCTACAACAATTCCGCTGTGGGGAACTGCAGGTACGCGTATAAATGAACAAATGAATAAATAAATAAATTATCATAAACAAATTAATTAAATAATTCACATTTACTCCTTGACTAACAGTGTGTTTTTAACACCATAACATTAAAAAACTCGTTTTACAGAAATTCTGGTGTAGGCATCGTTATTTGTGAGCGAAAGATCAATTTGACCGAGACCCCCCCCCCCCCAAAAAAAATAGCAAAAGAATAAATATGCAAATAAAACAATTAACACGTCTTGAGTTCGAGTGGACCTCGAACACAGGTCGTATACGTGGTGAACAGCTGTTCTACCACAGCCATGCGTAAATTTAAATGCTTTAGGAAACATCTCTATGTAAATGTCTTGTAGAGGAAGGAGTCTCCTTAACAGATTTTCCGTCAAATCTCAATCAAGCGGACCCCTTCTACTTTTGAGAGACTTTAAAACACGTGGACTCTCCTCTCCTCTCAACATTTTCAGTTTCATTCGCTCATTTTATTCACTCGACGATGGAATCACACCACGCGCCACAAAAAATGTCAGCTGTGTAACGACTGGGGGTTTTAAAGGCCCGCCCATTACAAAGCGCTCAGGCATACTTAATCATCAGCTGCTGCGAAAGGATTAACAGCTACATAGCTGCGTAATAGCTGCGTAGTAGCTGCATAGGTTTGCGTGTCGTTCGACGGACGCGACGGACGGATTTTGCGAATCTTCGCTGATTCGCAAAACAAAAATCCAACGTATCCCACGAACCTTGGGAATCGACGTTATGCGAAGCATGCGAAGTGACAGTGTTGTAATTTTTTTCATTGAGCGACATTACGTTCTACCCTTGAAGGCGAAGCTCAAACACTCTCAAATTTTTTTGTGGCGCAAGCAATGGGTGACGCTTGTTTTTATTTTAAGCACTCCAGTATGGTATTTACTTTCGGTTTTTTAAATAGTCAGAAAATTTACTTTCAAGGACTTGTACAAAATTGATGATTCTGGTTAAAGTGAGATATATTCGATACATATGAGAGCGGAGCATACTTAAAATAAGTGCCCATTGAATGTCAGTATAAGTTATGAAATTTAATCTAATTAGTGCATTGAACTATTACACAACGTTTTTGGAGAACTGTGATCTTGCCCCACCTCCTGGGGACGCAGATTTCAACTATGAGGTTCTGTATACGCGGCCTCCAAGATCTGTTCCAGCAGTGCGACAGAGTGCAAACTTAACGCAAGAAATACAGTCGAGAACACGATCACCAAGATACGAGTGCCCCTCTCAGACCTCTAAGTCTTCCATATGGGCTACTTTTGTTTTTTTTTTTTGTTTTGTTTAATAATGGAAATAACGAACACCAGCGTTTCATTATTTCGCTTCGCTATCGGTTTCTCAACCACACAGCCGAGTCGTAACATACATCTCACATTTGCGCACAGATGAAAGTACTGAACTTACCAGTCTGCCATACCAGCTGCCTGCTGCCTCTGTCTTAGTGAGAGATGAAAGTTTTGTGGTGACTCGGGATCACTGAGTAACTCTTCTAGAGACGCGTACACCCTCGTAGTCTTGTCGTGAACGAACACAATTTGATCCATGTGCCGCAAGTATGTGCCTTGGTTGCAAACCATAATGCGCGTCTGAAACACAGGAGCACAAGACTAATTAACGCATGGCTAATTAAGGCTAAATAACGTATTTATGTTCTTTCTTAGTCAATTTCTCGTTCGTAGCGTTAAGGAACCTGCATCATTTCTCCCTTCACATGCTGTTTTTTTCTTAACAAAAGTCCCGATAGTTGCTCTAATATTGTTGTTGTTGTTGTTGTTGTTGTTGTTGTTGTTGTTGTTGTTGTTGTTGTTGTTGTTGTTGTTGTTGTTGACTTTCTTCATTTTCAATAGACTTTCTGTTGACATAGAGCTTAGTAGCATGGGCCATTTTCGCAAGGATCTAGCCGGTTTTGTTTGATTTGACACGGCTATTCACTTAGCTATTTCCTTAATCCTCTAAGGTGAGTACTAAGACATGGTCATTAGCGATTAGCAAACCTTGTCTCTGAGAAGGCCACAACGTCCGATCACATCGCGGAATACATTGTTGGCCACCACTGGGTCCAGTGCACTGAGAGGGTCGTCCATGAGGTAGATATCACTGTCACTGTAGATGGCGCGAGCCAGTGAGATTCGCTGTTTCTGTCCTCCACTCAGATTGATGCCCTGAAAGACCCCAAGGAAACGAATCAGAACATTCATCACTCCATACGCTCAGTGTACGTGTGCGCACACTACGATACTCAGCCTGGAACGCCAACGCGTAAAAGCAAACCTGACACAATGTGCTTTAAGCACATGACCATGTTTATTGGAGAAAGATATTTCATTTCAACTCCTGCCATTATTGCTGCCCGATTTCGTGTTATTGATATCCTTACGGAATATGTAAGCCATGCGGGCGCCCACAGAGACACTACCAGCGCAGGTATTTCAGTTTGGCTGCTAAATTTTTCAGAACAAGACAGTTGTTGGTGCCACTTGATAAAGCTGATTATACACCTCCAATACGTTCAAGTGAAACAAGCCATGCATACGGATTGTCATTGCTTTGTTAAAATTCCGCCGAATATGCCGAACCACTACAAAAACTAAAAACAGCATCAGCTCTTAGTCAAGCTCCTCTTATTCCGCACCTTCTCGCCAACCTCGGCCGCATCTCCGGCAGGAATCTTGTTGAGGTCGTTCATGAGCTGGCAGCAGCGAAGCACGCGCTCGTAGTAGGCAGGATGCATGGGCCGGCCGTACAGGATGTTGTCCCGTATGGACATGTTGTGCACGTTCGGCAACTGAGGCATGTAGGCTATGCGTCCCTGCGGGGTAAGATATGTGATAAGTTGAACTGAGCATGCAAGTTTAGATTTGAATTTAGCGAACCAGCATTGATACGAGAAAAAGTGCACAAGCATGGTGGAGGTAGTCATGGAGACTATCGAATCCCCGTTTTGTCGCAAGTGTGAAGAAATGAATGCGATAGCAAAAAATTGTAAGGCTATACGAAGTAAGGCTGCCAGCCAAATTGTTTGAATCCGATCCCGCGTAACTCTACGAAATGCGGGTTTAATGGTATATGGTCACTCCAGGGAGCGAAGCGTCTTGCGAACTGCCTGTTGTCTAAACGCGAATCAAGCTGTGAGTGTACAGCACGTGCAGTGGTATTCAATACGAGCGTCCAGATAATGGCTGCGGTCGAAGGGGTCCCACTCCCATATTGTATTATCACCCAACGTGAAACTCGTTTTAGAACTAGCAGTAATGCAAACACTACTTACGTCACTGACTCTTTTCTAGGTCGGTGACACCGTGCAGTGTTCGCACAGCTTTGACCTCCATCCGCATATTGCAACTGATACCCGGCACGATGGTTCAAGGGCATACGAGCCATACAAAGATATTCGCTATCGCACAGGCATGGCTGACTATTCTAAGTGTGATAACTGCAGCTGCGTAGAGAATACTGACTGTCTCTTGTGTCACTGTCCCAAATAATAACAAGATCGCTGGGCCCATCGGTGTACCTTAAGTTGACTCAATTATCGGCCCTCTACTCAAAAAAAGATATTGGCAGCATTGTCTCACAGTAAATCAGCGTTGAAAGCTACACGAGCACTCCTGCAGTACTTGAAGGTAACATCGCTGAACGACCACCTGTGAAACCCCGCACAGCTTATGTGTGTGTGTGTTTGTGTGGTGTGTATCTGTCCCACTTTCTATCTCTTTTACTCCCCCTCTCTATTTGTAGGGTAGCAAGCTAGACAGTGGGGGAAGGGAGGAAGTGATTTTAAATGAAGAGAAGAGAAAAGTGAGCCCCGTAACTGTCTCTCAGGGGGAGGACACCTCAACAGTAGCTCAAGAGGGATGGGGGTAGAAGAAGGGATTAAAAGTATAGGATTAAAGGGTAAAGAGTTGGAGAGATAGGAAGGAGAGAGTGAGGCGGAGGGACAGCGAACGACGGAAGTAAGGAGAATACAGGAAAGATGGACACGGTTGCAGGAGTCCGAGGACGGGGCACCACTGGCAAGAGCTCTTGTCGGCGTCAGGAGATGACGTAGGGCAAGTCCAGTAGGCCAGAGCTACGCTGTCGTTGAAGATCGGCGTCAGGATATGACGAGGGCGCAACCGGTCGGCACGAAATCAAGCGAGTGAGTTCAAGCTAGACAGTCTAGTAGACCTTCTCGCCTCCCCTACATACATTGACTCTCCCTCTCCCTATCTCTGTACACCAACGGAGCTGTAGAAAAGCTGAAACGGCTGAAGGCCTGAGCTCTACTCACCGCTGGCTTCACAGTGCCTTCGAGGCACCGCATGTCGCCTAGAATGGCCGACAGCAGCGACGACTTGCCGCTGCCAACGAAGCCAACGATTCCCACGAGTGTTCCAGGTACAACGTCGAGCGTGACCAGTTTTAGTTGAGGCTCCTCGCCTTTCGAGGTAGGACTGCTCCAGGTGAGTGTGCAGTTTTTTAGGTTGACGGTTCCTGCACGTTTATGGCACATTCGAGCTTAATGTGAGCTGCAAGGTCATGGCCAGAGTGTACTAGAGCGGGGGAGTGGGTCCACATAGGGCTCCATGCGGAGACGTTTTTTTTTTTTTTTCTAAAAATCCAGGTAGCACTACCGTCACCTTCAGCTGAAGGTTTCCACGGTTACCGCTACTGTTTCCATGGTTACGGCCGCCCGTGGCGGCCGGCGGCAGCGGCTTCACCGTGGCCAGTCGTCGCACATCAATCGCGTCTAAAGCGTACCTCGCACTGTTGCAGTAGCGCTTGTACAAAGCCGTGGACGGCGTCGCACGACATCTTGCGAATGATTCAACTAACGGGAGGCACCTTGTTAATTTCGCTAAACACCCTCCTCTAGTTGCAGCAGCTAGTTGCAGCAGGGCTAGCTTCACTGCGTTCAATTTTTTTTTTTTCACGCTTACAAGGTTGGAAGCAGGTAGCGAACAAATGCTAAAAACAATGCGCGAGCGGCCATGCGTGAAGCAGACAATGCCACGCTGAGCCAACGCCACCTGTAGAAATACGTTTCGATGTTTCTTTAGGTACCGTTGGCCGAGCAGACGACAGCTCGGCGCTCTCGACGTCACCTAGGGCCACTCTACCTTACACCATGCCACGGGCGCTGCCAACCGCTGCCCCACCGACCCAACAGCCTGGATAAGCCGCAGCTTCTGCTGAAGGCGACTGCAGCGCCGCCGCAAACTTTCAGCGCCTTCTGCCTCACGCGCACCGCATGCCGCCCGCCCAGTGGACCCACTCTGCGATTCTAGTACACTCTAGTGTTGGCCTTACTTGAATGTGCCCGGCAACGCTACATTGGCAAACGTTACATTCGCTTAGAAAAGGGGTCGGCTACTTTTCAAGGCGAAGCACTGAACTGCACGAAAACGACAAAGCAACGACATCTGAAGTGTGAACTTTGCTAAGGCACGTTGCCGGGCTAGTTGGTTGAGATTCATCATTTTCACTGGTATAGCGCACCACGACAAGGACACACACAAAGAAGAGATGCACACACACACAGCGCTAACTTGCAACTAATGTTTTATTTGCGATCACACACGCTGTTTATAAAACAATAGACCAATAAAACCTGGATAATGTCACGTCAAGAATACAGCACAGCCCATGCACGTGTCATCACCGATAGCGACAATCTACACTAGCCCGTCAAAGTGAAAATTCCAGATACTTCTTTTCTTTAGACGATAACGCTATGGAAGCCACACTCACACATTTTTCTTTCATTTTGTCTATTTCAAAAGCTTCAATAATTTCACGTGTGGTTCTGTCACGGGCCTTAAAGAGTATACGCTGTGTGTGTGTGCATCTCTCCTTTGTGTGTGTCCTTGTCGTGGTGCGCTATACCAGTGAAAATGATGAAGTGTGAACAGACGTGTTCGCGCCTGTCACTTGGGTGTGCGAAATCAGAACTGCCGGGCCTAGGGAAGCAACTTGCTCTCTTGTGTGGGGAATCAAGCCTCATCGATTCTCCAACGAGTTTCGGTGATCAGATGTTATTTGAATGTATTTAAGCCAGCTCACTGACACTAATGCATAAAAAAAAAGAGGTAAATGACCTTATTCATGACTGAACGATGGAGGCGAAAATTTGAGGGCTTCTTTTCTTCTGTTAGACACAATATTAGGGATAAATAACAAACAATGATGCCAAAGAAAGTATAGTAGATGTTATTTGTGTAATAATTATTACACAACTGTAAATTTTGATAAGAATGTACGTTAGTTCTCTCTACTATAGCGTCTAACAATACCTGATTGCGATAGTGTGTTGTCGTTTTTGTTGTTCCGGAGAACAAGGCTCATCGTACAACTAAAGTCCGAGATCAGAATTAGCAAAACCGCAAAAAAAACAACGCGAGGACTATAGCGTACCAGTTTTTGTAAAATATTCCTTCGCTTGTGACTTTTCTTCGTCATACTCTTCGGCCGCGTAGAATGAAGATATCCGCTTTAGCGATAGTGAACCCTGAAACGTAGAAGGGAATGATTATCATATCATAAAGAGCCTCACCGGATCCTGTGTCTCTTTAAAGCAGAAAAAAAATCAGGCAATCCACTCAGTAAGAACACAGTGAACAGGTTCTAACGAAACGAGTTAATATTGAGGCTGATGACAAATTTGAGGCCTTTAATAAAATGCACGTATGCGTACACAAAGCATACCAAGGCAAGCCTTGCGCTAAGGAAAACCAATTACACATACAGCGAATTGATTTAATCTAAACTAAACTTTCTTTCGTAAGAAATCTTACTTCGTAACAGCATAAGATCTTCAATCTGTATTTGAGCAAATTCTTAAGTACTAAAGTCCGGAGAGTGAGTATGCTAAAATATTGCGATATCAATGTGTCCACCAGTATCTAGTGAAAACTAATCTTGAGCACGTGCATATTAAATCGATCTGGATAACCTATATGGAGGGCCTCACACCACCCATGGGTTTGGGAAATGGAATCCCCGGGTTTCATTAATGAACGCCCATGGGAAAGGAAGTGACAAAGTTAGCGTAAACAAATAGCCTTCCTTCCCCTTTCACGCTCCCCAGAAGTATATCTCAACTGACGGTAAAGAAGTTCACGGTGATATCAGGCTGCAGAAAATAAACGTACCTTTGTTATATTCCTGAACGCGTGAGCAAGGCCGCTAGTTGTCAGGTCAGTGATGTACAACAAGGACATGCACGAGAAAGAAAGCTCAGGGCTGAGTACACGGTCGGGCTCGAACACAGACATAGTTGCAAAGACGATGATCATCATCTGGAAAGAAGGGCTGGTTGTTTATAGCGAAGCAGTCATCGGCTAATACATACACTCTATCGTATATAATAAAGGTAACGTGTAGCGACCGGAGACAAGCAGTACGTAGGCACAAGTAATAAAGTCTCATCAGCTTTATCTAGTAACAACCACACAATGTTACGCGATGCTCCCGAAGAATAGCTTCCAAAAGTGTATCTACGATCGATCAATATCAATTTAGGCGATACTTGACTGTAAGCTAACGCCCAGAGGGCCATGTCACTGGAGTAACGAGAGTTGCATAGAAATACGAAGTGATTATCTCTGAAGAGATATTCCGCAGCAGAATTGAGTCAGACGGTCGGTCCAACATGACTATACCACCAGCATACACAACATACCGCAAGGATACCTCGTCATCCCTACACTGCGGGGTCATAAGGTAGAACCATAGTTTGCTGCCGACGACGATGGTCTAACATGTGAGCGTTCTTAAATAATAATAACAAGAGTTTCCCGCCAAAAAACCAAGATATGACCATAAGGCATGCCGTAGTGAAGTACTTCGGAAACTTGGACCATCTGGTGTCCTTTAACCTGAACTCGCATCGCGTGGTTCATGGGCCTATAGCATTTCACCCCTATCGGAATGCGTACGCCATGGTCGGGTTCGAACCCACGACCATTGAGTCAGCTGCGGAGCATCGTAATTGCTATAACACCGCAGCGGTCCACGCATCAACACAAACGTCAGCAGGCATAACAGTAACGTGTTGCTCGAACGAAGGTGGCTAGTTGACAAACGCATAAGCCGGTGCAATAACCGGTTACAAAAGTCACCAGAGCGCTTGATAAACTCATAGCGGAAACCAAGCGTACTATTTAGCATAGAGTTTCCTAAAATTAACTACAGGGGACTCTGTCGCTGCTATCGTTCAGCGACCATGGGAATGATGGGTAGTACATACATTTGCCTAGTCTTCGTACTTGCAGGCGGCGAATCGTACTTGCGGCTTCGTTTATTCCTGGTTTCGGTTTTGTTTTGAAAGAAAGATTCAACCCTTTTGAACTTCGTGACCCGGTTTGGGAAGGTAAGTCTAAAATAATGAGGTGGTGAAGCGCAACCGCTGAACATTTGCTGATTTTTGTTTCACGAGAAAACAGCTCCAAGCCACACGAACACACACGGAGCCGAAGCAGGCCAGAAGTACGAAGATTAGACAAATGTGTGTATTACCCATCATTCCCATGCTCGCCGAAGCACCATGCGTTGCAGCTCCCATAGACACTAGCGCCAGAGTTCCCTCTAGTGTATATTGGGAAACTCTATGCTATTTAGGGTCGACTATGAGAAAAACGAAAACAAAATGGGGGCCTTTACTGACTTTACATGCGAATTTGGGCACGTCACGCGATGATTACGTACTGCTTCGATCTTTCCTCCGTGCTTAAATCGGTGCTCTCTGCACGATATATCCTCCATTAAAAGTGAAAGCTGCGATGTTGATCCATCGGTGACACGGCCTCCGAGAGCTCTTCCACTAACCGTTCTCTAGTTCAGTGACGTACCACGGTGCTGCATGAGCTGCAGACAGAGTCCACGACCGCGGCGAGCACGTTGACTCTGAGCAGACACTTTAGCTCCACCTTCCGCGACTTGAGCACGTTCTTCTGAAGAGCGTCTTCCCAGGCGTACATCTTCACAACGCGGATGTTGCACAGGAGATCCGTCATGAATTTCAACCTCTCGTCACGGGCTTTAATCTCCAAATCCTGCGGAAAAAAGGTACGAAAATTTCTGTCCACTTTTTTTGACAGCTAACATGAAGACAAACCAAACAAGGTCAAATAGGGACAAGAACACGAAAGAAGGATGTTAGCAAGAAGCCCTGTTCACCACCTTAAAATGAAGGACGGGCAAATACAAGAGAACTTCACGAGAACTTCATCTTGGGTTAGTTCGTTATGGTATTTGTATGTTGTTTTGCCACCAGTAAAAATAAGATACGCAAGAAAAACACGAAAGCGATGATATGGGCGGCACGTGTGCTTTATTTCAAGCATGAAAAAACAAAGCATACAGACGGAATCCCTTTTGTCTAGAGCGCCAAGTCTGCCGCTTAAGCCACCGTTTTTTTTTTATAAATATGCAAACAGAGATAATATGATGATACCTAACATGGTTATACTGCATGCTAGGTCCTCGTGCTATAGTTAAAGCATTCACGAAAGCTTGTAGCTAACGTGACGTAGCAGCTGCGCACAACACACTGCCACGAGCTCCACCACTCTATAGAGTAGTGTGACTCCGTCTGTAGATATACATGAGAGGCACCCTTGTGCACAATATCCAACGACACCACCTAACCTGGCCGGTTCTCCAATTATCTAATCTCTGAAGACCGTAGCTGTATCGACTTGTGACATACGTTCACCACCACGCTTAGTAATGTAAGACGTTTCTAACAAATAACGTGAGGTTTGATGCTTGTTCTTACCCACAATGAATCTTGGCCTCACCAACACGTATCTAAGGAAACAAAACGAACTTGCGCAAATTCCTGCGCACTGCAATGTCCGCAAATGCCAACACCGATTTTATGAGGACAGGATATGGATATGGTCAGGATATGGATCAGGTGCGGATATAGATAAAAGCAAGCATCAAACCATACGTGAGTTATTAGAACCTTTTTAGACGAATAAGATGGGTGATGATTGCATAACTGACACGTCAATATAGCTGTGGTTTCCAAAGATTAGGTTGTTCGAGAGCTGGTCAAGTTAGGCTGTGTCTTTGGATATTTAAGCATGTTTGTATCACATGCATATGGACGTTCCGTTTCATGCTTGAAATAAACCAGTTGGCAGTGCCACCCATGTCATCACATTCATGTCTTTCTTGTGTGTTTTGTTTTTAACAGCAGCAAAATGTCTCGCGGTGTCGCAGCGCAAGGCTAAAAGTGCATTGCCGCAGTTATTACAAACGAGAAACCTGCGAGATAAGCCGTAGTCTCTGACAAGTATCACACAGTTCTGTGAACAGCACTGTGTGATGCTCGATAAGGCCACAAAAACAACAAAAAAACAAGTTCTCGTTTTCAAGAAGGCACGACGTTAAACAGAATAGGGAAAACATCAAAAGATGTGAAGTTGCAGGGCGAGTCTTGCTTCTACGACACAGGAATGCATGCCTACTTATCACTCGGAGAAGCCGTCACGGCCGGATGCGGGCCTAAGGAGCTTCGCTAAAAAATTCAACCAGCAATTTTTGACTGAAACGAATATACCAGAACTACGATGTTGATGCAAGACGGAATGTAATGTGACAGCTCACCCACAATCGTCTTTGTGCGTACAGCGAGACCCCAGAGGCGAGCAACGCGACGACCGTCCAGGTGGCGCAGCAGACTGTGGGCACTACTCCCACCCTTTCCGACAACATCCAGAACAGAAGCGGGAGCGTCAGGATGCCGCAGAATGGCAGTGGCAGCGTGTGGACCCAGTTGCAAAGCACGAGGCAGTCCACTCCTAGAAGGGATGCCACGTAGCCGACGGGCTGGGCAGATGCAGGAGACAGCAGCGTTGCCTGCATGTCGTGGATGCGGCAGAGATTAAGATGAATATTACGCACAACGCTCCTAGCAGCACTATCGAAAGCTGGCCTGTCTGTTCCTTCTTCAGCACCACTGGTAATTGACAGAGTTGCGTTACCTAATTCTGTAATTGGTTCGCCAACACACCAAGCGACAAAACAAGAAATTCGTTGACTCAGTTTGAGTGAGTGAGTCAGTGAGTGAGTGAGTGAGTGAGTGAGTGAGTGAGTGAGTGAGTGAGTGAGTGAGTGAGTGAGTGAGTGAGTGAGTGAGTGAGTGAGTGAGTGAGTGAGACTGCTTCGTGTCGGTTAGCCTTGATCACTCGGAAAGCGTAATAGATGAGCGCCGCAGACGGATACCTTTCTGAAGATGATTCCCTGCAAAAGAGATCTGACGCGGCATCCGACGAGAACCAGCAACTCCATGTGGTAGGACGAGATGAGCCACTCTCCTACGCAGGTCACCATGAACAATAGCGACGCTACCGTCACGTCGCCTTCGCTGCTCGTCTTGATCAGCAGTCTAGTAGGAAAGCGAACGTTGTACCTCGTCAATCAAACAGCCTCTAAAACCTGAACATCGGGTTGAAATACACCAGCCAGAAAACTGTGCAACTTACTCGAGCGCAGGAACTCTTGCGAAGATGCAGAAGAAGTAAGCCACAGTGCACAGGGAAAGCCGCAACACGTCGATCCACAGCACCTTGAACACGTTGGTCACGAAAGTCGACCTCGTCGTCTTAGGCTTGCCAGGTCTTTTTTTCAAAAACACAAGAAAACGCGGTTCCGCAATCGCCAGTAACACATTATCTTTTTTTTTTTTGTTTAGTTCGAAGCACCTCGAAGAGCCGCAATATGGCGGATATCGGGACGGGTCATGAATCGACGTTTACTACCCCAAGTCTCTTGAGAAGACGTCCCCTCGCCAGTCTTTTTATGATGGCAAGAACTATATGAATTTATACGCGCGTTGCTAAACATAAGCCACAATGTGCACCGAAGTATGTAAAAATTGGCATGGCTGATGTTTAATAAAGCAACTGCAATAAGGCAGCTTATTTTTTTTCATGATCTATTTTAGGTAATTTCAAAAACTTCTTTGGTTATTTCAAGTTATTAAAATGCACAGTTGGGGTGAGGTGCTCGCCGGTTTTTACGTTGATCGTAAATATGGATATCCCATCATGGCCTCAAAAATTTTTCGCATGCAATATTTGCCACGTATCAGAGCAATACTGTTTAAACAAGTGTCAGTTTTACTGATCACTCACCTGCAAGAGCGTATGCTGATAAAACGTATTTAGTATGTACTGTTGAATCAGAGTTTGTATTTGAGGTTAATACTTTACGTGACTGCTTCCAGGTTTAGTTAATAACTGAATTAAATATGCAATGTAATGTACTGTCAGCACCAAATGAAATCCGAACAGCGGAAAGCCTTCGCTACGGTATAGTGCGCGCCATCCGCTTATCACCTTGGATAGGCACGCATACAGCGTAGAGCTGCCGAACGGGGTGCGCGTGCCTGTTCATGGGGATAAGTGGACGGCACGCACTATATGGCAAGCCTTCGCCACGGTATACCGTGGCGAAGGCTTGCTATATAGCTTGCTATATCATAAAGCTTGCTATAAAGCTTGCTATATCAGCATCAAATGGAAGCTGTTCAGCTTCCATTCGATGCTGATAGCACACTTTATAAACTTTACGCATGTCATTTTATTAGGTCCGCCTAATATCCGCATGAATCTGTGAAGCAAATGCGTATTCCACGTAAAATTTATGAAATTTCTAGGTAAGAAAATATCCATACCAAGCGTTTCAATGGAGCAGGCTAAAGAAAAGCGACCGTATTGTTCCGCATAACCAGGATAGATATAACAAAGACAGTCAGATATTCACTTCGTTTCTTTAGATGGTTGAGCATGATTGATTGATTGATATGCGGGGTTTAACGTCCCAAAACCACTATATGATTATGAGGGACGCCGTAGTGGAGGGCTCCGGAAATTTAGACCACCTAGGTTTCTTTAACGTGCACCCAAATCTGAGCACACGGGCCTACAACATTTCCGCCTCCATCGGAAATGCAGCCGCCACAGCCACGACTCGAACTCGCGCCCTGCGTGTCAGCAGCCGAGTACCTTAGCCACTAGACCACCGCGGCGGGGCTAGATGGTTGAGCAAACCACGACAAAGTTTTGTTGGCAACTGTCACAATGGTGTACGCTTTTGTTGTTACCCCTTTGTCAGTCTTGACGTAAACGCGTTCAGCAAGTTCTTGCAGCGTATGCCCCTTCGCAAGTGTGGAATTGCCAGCGTCGAAGACAGCTCTTTCCTCCTGCGTTCTCGGAAGGTCCTGCGCCAAAAGAGAGACGGACACTTCACGTAGATCTTACACAACGCAACCAAAGTACAATGAATTCTTCAGGGGCTGCTTACGGGATGAGACAGAGACAGGCTATCTTGGAGAATACCGAAACGCTGTCCTCGTCCAGGAACCCTCGGTAAACCTGTTTGCAGTAAAGCCAGAAAAAAAAAGTAACTTCAACTTGTTTCTATGTGAGGGGAAAAACATTAAGGTTATTCAGTTTAGTACAATTGTTTTACAACCATACACATAAGAACGAGATGAGGGCGATTGAAAAATGGAGAAGGGAAGACAACACGCAGCACGCAGTCACAGCCCACCCTTCTGGCGCGGTAAACAACGTGACTATCATAGCCACTTGTCTAAGTCGGTTTTCTTCAAAAACATCAATAGCGACAAGATAGTTGATCCGCCAAAGTTCTTCGTGGCTTCATTTCAGAGTTCGTACGCCAAAGCTCTCTTTGAAATCAATGCCCAGTCATTCTAATGGCGGCGACTAAGAAATACCAAGCCCCTTAAAGGGACTTTAAAGTCAAATAACAATTTGCGTCAGAGTGAAAGCTCAATGTATGAAAACATCTAAAACGACAATATTATCAACGACAGTGCCCTACTTACCGAAACATTAAGGCAAACGCACAAAAACACAAGCGCCGCAGTAGGACATTTTCAAAGTGATCCTGATGACATCAGACGGACCACCTATTATTAATCACTAGCAATCGATCTAGCTGCACTAAGTAAAAAACCTTCCGTGCATCAGCAGACGCAATAAAATGCTGCATGTTTGTTTCTGCTTGATTCATGGAAAAAAGAACCGCCGGGCGTTAATATAGGGAATGGCACGAGTGGTTCGAAAATCCCATTTCCGCGTGGTTACACAGGACAGGTAGAGGCATCTAGCGGGGCGCAGTTGAAACAAAAGCGTCTGCAATCTCGAAGCTAATGGCGGGGAATTGATCAATTGCCGTTGTTGCTGCTGTGACTCCCGCTGGTTGCGGTCTGCTGCTATCAGCGCAGTAAAGAAGGGCAACGTTGTGCGTGGTAACAGTGACATGGGACGTTCCGGTCGGTCCGCTTCTTGAGGCGGGTAATTTGAAGTGCGCTGACCCGATTCAGAGCACTAAAACAGAATTTTATTTCGAAATAGGCCCTTTATTGGCACAAAACTAAAACTACTAGGTTTCTGAACCGTCATTTCAACAATCAACGTCGACTTCTTAGTTGACTTTCGTGTCCTTTTAAGTGCCCATTTATCCACTTTAGTGCCATGAAGCACAAAATGAGTGCTCAGTGAGGGTTAGATGCTGATAGGCTCACTTATTACATAACGTCTGTGGTTGCAGTGGTGCACACACCTTTCTTTTGCACGCTATTGCTTATGTGCTGAGCTAGTGATTAGCTGCGTGTACTACAATTAGAGTGAATTCCTTCGCACCAAAAAGCCTGAGCCCAGAGTCGGGCGCACAATTGATACATACGTGAACAGAGCTCGTCCTGGAGACAAGGTGATCATGTATTCCAGAACCTAAGAAGTTTCCGGCTGCACAGACCATCAATGAGTAGGTAACGACAAACAGGCTTTGGCTGATGCAGTCGTCGGCTAGAGAGATCACCTGGAAATAATAAAAACGACTGCTAGAAAAATTCAGCATATCTCTCTTCAAGAATGACGCTCTTTATGCACTTACTTAATGCGTTGATGTTCAATCTACAGATTGCGAAAGGTGTGTCTGCCAACTTTAATGCATTTCAATGAATTGAGATCTTTTTTTTTTTCATTATGCATGTTCCACACATAATACAAGCACTTCCTACACATGGAAGGGCACGAACCGATTCCAAGGTCGACCCAAATAGGTGACGAAGCTTTGGGTGAAACACGGTTCAGAACCTATAGCCAGTGGCGTAAGTGAGAAGGAGCTTTGGGTGGATGCTGTGATTAAAGCGCGACTAAGCGCCGAGAAAACAAACGCTAAAACTGACAGCGAGAAACCTAGTTTAATTCAAGAGAGATGCAGTCTTTGTGTTTCGCAAGTGGCATTCATTTCCCCAACTATATTATGTAGTTGCAATGAGAAAAGAATTCATGTCACTGTTTAAATATTATGCAAACCCCTTTTTTCTGGGTTGTTAGGGTGTTAGGGCGTGTTGGTGCTGCATCGATTGTAAAAGGCGCAATGAAGACGACGGACGAACAGAGGCGTGCAAACACACAAGCACCTACACACACGCACACACACACACACACAGAGAGAGAGACGTTCTATGTGTTTGTCTTTCTCTCTTTTTGTGCGTCTCTCTCTCTGCGCACGCCGCCACTATTCAGTGCAGTTGCTGCAGTCCTATTCAGTGCAGTTGCGCCACAACTAATCAGCGCAGTTGCTACAAGCACGCCTGCAGTTGCTGCGGGCGAACTAGTAAAGTGACGACACGCCCTCCCACGTGTCTTGGTGTGCTCCACTCACAGGCGTTCCCCGAATTATAATAAAGCTCGTTTTTTCAAAGACCGAACCCGCTTTCTTTTTTCGCACTCCCATGAGTGCTTTCCCCTCCCACCAAATGGCGCCAAGCACCTTGACCAGCGGACAAGCCGCAATTTTGTTATAGTATATATAGGCTTCTATAAAATGGTAGGTGTAAACTTAAGAGACAAGAAGAGAGAAGAGTGGATTAGGGAACAAATGGGGGTTAAGGATATCATAGCTGAAATCAAGAAGAAGAAATGGACATGTGCCGGGCATGTAGCGCGTAGACAGGATAACCGCTGGTCGTTAAGGGTAACTAACTGGATTCCCAGAGAAGGGAAGCGGGTTAGGGGGAGACAGAAGGTTAGGTGGGCAGACGACATTAAGAAGTTTGCGGGTATAAATTGGCAGCAGCAAGCACAGGACCAGGTTAACTGGCGGAACATGGGAGAGGCCCTTGTCCTGCAGTGGACGTAGTCAGGCTGATGATGATGATGATGATGATGATGATGATGATGATGATGATGATGATGATGATGATGATGATGATGATGATGATGATGTATAGGCTTCTATGGATGCTTCACTACCAGCTCTAATGACCTTGCCAATTCACTTATTGACTCATTGTTCTAATGCACCCACAACTCCGTACTGGTGTTTCCATACCAGATTCTGTCGCTCATACGGGCCGTTTGACACAGAGTCCAGAACAGTCGCAGTGGCCAGGAATCCCAGCAAGGTGCACACGAACCCCGACGGTGGAAGGCAGCGCCTCCATCGTTTCCACGTGATACCTAAAAGGGCGACCTGTTGAGAATAACGCCAAATTGTCGCTATTTGCTTAATCCGAGAGACTAACCTGAGGCACAACGAGTAACATTATGTGACAAGAGCCGGATCGCACATTAATAAACAAGTTCATTCAATTCAAAGCTTACCATGGCAGTTCTGCGCAATATGCTGACATTCGAAAAATAAAAGTGGAACCATGCAATTCGTAGTGTTCTGCCTTATAAGATGGAAAGTATTATGGGATAAGAAATGCACAAAGTATAGGTGTACACGATTATGACAAATTAGGGTGGAGTCTGCCCGTACAGATTGTGAGAAGAGCCTGCACCACTACTGTATCGCAGGTGTCTGCCCGTACAGGCGAATGTCACTCAATTTTGCATGTTTAAATGCTAGCGTGAACCAAACGACCTCACGTAATTGGCGGATAGGAGTCTGAGTTTCGCCAAATTTGCTAAAGGCATCGGCAGGGACTTCCCTATGTCCCGCATGGCAAATACAGCGCACACTTCACCAAGACTAACGCAAGCAACACAAGGCATAGGCGACTTTCTGTGCCTCGCGTTCCTTGTGTAAGTCATAATGATGCACTCATTGCATTCGCCTAGTGATGACTAAGAACGGCGAAAGCTTAGATGCCTCATGAAGTGCGACAATCGATCCGTGTCCCGCATTGGCGGCATCGACATGACTGTTGCAAAAGAACTCTCTCGTGATTGCGTCCTCATATGACATCAATGTCGTGCTGTACCACCTGAATATGTGACGTCACGTCATGACGTCATCATCGACATTATTACTTGGTAAAAGGCATGCCGATGACACAGGCGGTGCCGAACAATAAAGGTACAGAAAGCCTACAGCGCCCTCGATTCTGGAAGAATTCAACAACCACGTTAGTTACAAAAAAACTCGCAGAGGTAGGCGTGGTAGGTTCAATCATAAGACTTCGAAGAAAATGAAGAAGATTGGTTTCACCTGCGAGCTGACTGAAGCGGATGCATTAGGAAGTCCGTGAATTCGTTGCAAGCTTGCGTGAGATATGAACCACGAGGTAACTTGCATGTAATGGTTGTTGAATTGCGCCTCATTCGATTGGCTGACATACAGTGGGTGCAAGCAATGCCCCTGACGAAGCCTATGGAAAGCACGAAGTGTAGACATTCCTTGTCGTTAATTTGGTTCAGAAAGTACAGCGCGATTCAGACAGACTGCAGCGAAGAAGTGTGTGCCACCAATCCTCCGTCGACGCAGACACGACGACGATTCTCGACATCGGAGGTCAACGATACTTATGCAGCCAGGCGGCATGAATGAAGGCAGCTAAACGCACTCACGCACGACAAGGCTAGACTGAAGTCGCACGTGGCATCCAACAGGGATGGCAGCAGCACGGTGTTCTCTCGAACACCCGACTCCAGAGTGAGGTAGCCCTTCGCGACTCCGAGGGAAGCAGTCACGAGGAACAGCGCCTGTGATGCAAAGCGAGTGACACGATAACAGAGCGACAAAAGTTTTGAGTAGACTGGAGAAAATGTTAGGCAGCCATGCAAGAGCACACTAGTCTGTTAGCCTGCTGTGCCGCTGATTTTCTCGCTGCGCATAGCGTACCTACGTTTTCGAACCGTACCGTACCGGGTCATACAGGGCCCATGAGGGTAGGTGTAACGTTCTACCATGGTTTTTTTCCGTTTTTTCCCACTGTATTCTCTAAACTGCATCAGCATCATCACTGAATATAACAATTATTTAAACGCGCAGGCCCGAGCACACTAGCTCAGGGCCGACATTCGCAACTTATTCAGCTAAGTTCTCCCAGTAGCTTGGTGAAGACGCACAACACAGCAAGTTTATTCGTTTGGCCATGGGAGTAAACAAGATAAGGGGGCAAAAAGAAGGCTGACGAAGACGTCGCTGTCTAAAGACGCGCTCTTATGTGCCCCCACTGGGTTATTTATTTAGTTCAAGTGCCCCTTAATTCCGATTGCCCAATTTTTATTGGAGAGAGAAACATCGTGACACGGCGCTTACAAAGTGGGCAACATCCAGAAGAGTCCAGTAGGGACCTCGATGGAAGCGTGGGTAATTGTTCTGCGCCATTTGCTGTGGTCCGAAGAGTAACAGCACGCCAAACGTGGCGCACTTGAGGAACTGCGACGCAAAGCCAGCGGCGTATTGTGTGAGTGCCTTCTGGAAGAATAAAAATGTGTAGGACCACTATAGTTCATTGGACGGTGACAGATTGATTACAATGCCGCTGTTGTTACTGCACATATAGAAAATTAGCGAACTGTAGTCATCATTTAGCAGCAGTAGGTGACATTCAGTCATTTTTAGCCAGGACCAGCCAACAATGGCCCTCTGTTTGCCAGTGCTAACAAGCAGTACTATGCGAGTAAATGCTGCGTTTTAATTCGATAAACATTAATGGTACACATTCCGTTAGAACGGAGCGTTAATCATCAAGTGGCAAGAACAGGAATGCACAGGTTGGATATCACCGTGAAGTCACCGCTTTCAAAAAGTTTTTTTTCTGTTTTCCCGCATTAGCTCTACATACCTTTGACACTTGTTGCCTTAAATGGCACTTAAACCTCTCCGACTTTAAAGACAAAAAGAGTGGTTGCTCGCTTGCTTTCACTACTCTGCCTAAAGGTGTTATCTCCTCCTAGCCGCTTATTTCTTCACAAAACACTTGCACACTATCAGCGCCTGCCAACGTGAACCGCTCGCTGGGAACAATGCCTTCGGTGTACGTTCACGGTCTCCGAAACGTGGTGGAAAGGGAAAGCCGGAGCCGTGGTGAGAGAACACGACGCGACGACACTTCCATGACCAAGACAGTCACCCCCTGAGGAAGGGACCGAGTCGGTCTCGAAACGTCGGGCTCTTTTTGAACTGTGGCTGGAGCAATTTCAATTTTCTAAACTTTTCTACCCAGCCAGACAGATTGCTGTCAAAATGTTTACGTTTAAAACTATCAGCACTGAACATCGAACCTATCACGATTTGGTGATACGGTGTCTCTCTACGGTTTCTCTCACAATCACCACCATACGATTGTGAGAGACACCGTAGGGGAGGGCTCCAGAATTTTCGAACAGCTGGGGTTTTTTCAAAGTGCACTCAAGTCCGAGCACGTGCACCTACAGCATTTTCGGCTTCATCGAAAATTGCAGCCATCACAACCGGGGTTCAATCCCGCAACCTGCAGGTCAGCAGCCACTAGACCACGATGA